GGTACCAGCATCCAGGAAAATAAAAGATGGATTGTACTGGGAACATTTGCTGTCAGAGACCTCTCCAAAGTATTGAAGAGCAACAACGTCAGTCTGGAAACTAAGGTGCATCTGATTTAGGCTATAGTCTTTGCAATCACTTGATATGCATCAGAAAGCTGAACAATGACTAGGGAGGATAGAAAGAGAATTGATGCCTTTGAGCTGTGATGCTGGAGAAGGTTATTGAATATACCATGGACTGCTAGGGGAACAAACAAGTTCATCCTAGAGAAGGTGAGACCAGGCAAGGATTCTGAAGCTTTGTCTGACATACTTTGTACCTGTTGCAAGGCAGGGCCAGTTGTTGAAGAGGGAACATCACGTTTGGGAGGGTGGAGGGACAGCAAATGAGAGGAAGATCCTTGATGAGATGGATTGATTCAGTGTTGGGGTCATGGGAGTAGGTGTGTTTGAGACAATGAGATTGGCACAGGATAGAACAGGGTTTAGAGCTATTGTATATATGGTCGTTATGAGTTTCAGGCAGCTTGACAGCATATAACAACATATATATGAATATATATTTTACTCTCTGTCAGTGTGCTGTACTATGGTGGCTTGCATGTTACTGTCATTTGGGAAGCTGTGCTACTGGTATTTCAAACACTAGCAGGAGCAGCCTGACTAAACAGGTTTAACTAGAGCCACTAGACTTAGACAGAGTAGGAAGAAAGACCTGAAATCATCTTCTGAAAACTAGCTCACAAAAACCCTGTGGATCATGGTTGGATACTATTTGGATCACTCACTTTGTACATATCATCAGGGTTAATCAAAGGAGGGCATCATGGCTGGTGGAGAGGGTCAGCAAAAATGAGGGAGAACCTCAATAAAATGAATTGGCATAGCAGCCATAATAGGTGGCCATGATGTGATTGGGAGAAAGATGTAGGACCAGGTAGCATTTAGTTCTATCAAATGTCAAGCTGTTTTGAGTCTGAACTGATTCAACTGACAATTAAGAAATACATTAAAAACCCACTGCCCTACTGTAGCTTTGGTGGCCTAGTGGCAAGAAGCTGCACTGTAATTCAAAAGGCATGTGTTTCGAATCCCCAGATATTCCGCTGGAGAAAGAGGTGCAATCTCCTTCTGTGCCAGGTGGATCAGATTCAACAGTACACAGCAACAATAACAATAATAAAAAGCAAACCAAAAACCCACTGCCTTCTAGTGGATCACAACTAATGGAAATCTTCCATTAGCATTCCTATGCTCTTAGTTTTTACAGAAGTCTAACGGTCAGAGTGCTGAAGAGCAATGATGTCAGTCTAGAATTTAAGGTGCCTCTGATGCAAGCCATGGTCTTTGCAATTGCTTGTTATGCATCAGAGAACTGTATAATGACTAAGGATGATAGGAGAACTGATGCCTTTGAGTTGTGGTGCTGGAGAAGCGTGTTGAACATACCATGGACTATCAAGAGAACCAACAGGTTTGTCCTCAAGAAGGTGAAACTAGTTCCTTGGAGGCAAGACTTTGCAGATTTGAAGTATGCCTGACATACTTTGGGCATGTTGCCAGGAGGGGCCAGTGCTTGAAGGACATAATGCTTGGAAGGTAGGAAGGACAGTGCAGGACAGGAAATCCCTGGATGAGATGGATTAACCCAGTGACTGGGGTAATACAGCCAGCTGTGTCGGAAACAGTGAGATTGGCCCAAGAAAGAACAGGGGTCAGAGCTATTGTGCATGGAGTCCTATGAGTCGCAGGTGACTTGATTGTACATAAAAATATAGCAGCAATGGTCTTCTAAGGGAGCCCTGGGGCCTAGTGGTAAGGTACTATGTTGTCAACCCAAAGATACGCAGTTCAAATGCACCAACTGCATCTCAGAATAAAAATGGTATCACTCCCATGCTATTTATTGCCTCTGAAAATTTGGAGGGTCAGCTATGAATGGATCAGTTCAACTCTATGGTTCACAACCGTCTCCTGCAGTCACTGATGGATTTGCATCTATGACCTTTCAGTTAGTAGCCTCCACACTTCATGCTATCACCTAGGTTTTTTAAACGCAAACTTGCAGATGACCCTTAAACTTGAGGGGACGGTATGTGTTTAGGAGCTAATCTGTATGGAACTTTAGTGGCTTAGTGGTTAAGTAGTGCTGCCAACCCAAAGGCAAGCAGTTCAAATCTACCAGCTGCTGCTCCAAGGGTTAAAGAGGGGCAATCTCCTTCCCTGTGTCTTTCTGTCCCTGAAAACCCTCTAAAGGCTCAACTATGAGGTTTTCTGACTCAACAGTACAACAATCTCCTGTACAGCCAAAATTTTGAGACACAACTTATAGTTGATCTTAATCATCAAAGGTCTGAGATGCTTGGACTTGTGTACAAAAAGCTATGTGACATTAATCGCTCCCATTTTTCCTTCAGATTAGTATCACAAGTATCAGAACCCTTGACTTCACTAAAATAGCAACAGGAAGAAACATCTGCATCGAACTGAAAGCAAGCAATTCAAACAGTTGTTGAAAGGTCAATTATATTTGTCTACCTACACTCTATATTCCACCAATCCTGACCCCACATTTCTCCTCATAGAGCCCAGCATCCCAGATAATCTGTTCTGCATACAGGTTGAAAAGGTATGGAGACAGGACACATCTCTGGCACACACCCTTCCCAATTTTGAACCATGCAGTTTCTTTGCTCTGTTCTGACGACTTCCTCTTGGTCCAAGTATAGGTTTCACATTAGCACAATCAAGTGTTCTGGGATTCCCATTCTTCTCAGAGTCAGCCACAGTTTGTTATGATCCATATAGTCAAACACCTTTGCATAGCCAATGAAACAAAGATATACATTCCTCTAGTATCCCCTGCTTTCAGCTAAGATCCATCTAACATAAGCTACAATATCCCTAGTACCCCGACCCCTTCTAAACCCAACCTGGACTTCTGGCAGTTCTCTGCTGATGTACTGTTCCAGTCGTTTCTGGATAATCTTCAGTGGAATCTTGCTTGCATGTGAAATCAATGATATTGTTCTATAGTTTCCACACTCTGTTGGGTCACCCTTCTTTGGAATGGGAACAAATATAGATCTCTTCCTGTCAGTTGGTCAAGTGGTTGTTCTCCAGATTTCTTGGCACAACTTGGTGAGCACACCCAGGACAGCATCTGTTAGCTGAAATAGGTCAATTGGTATACCATCTATTCCGGGGGCCTTATTTTTTGCTATTTTCCTTCAAAGCAGCCTGAACTTATTCCTTCAACACCATAGGCTCTTGCTCATATATTGTTTCATTAAATTCTTCTGTGTCTGCCAATTCATTTTGATACAGTGACTCAGTATATTCTTTCCAGCGGGTCAAGGACTGCAGCCTTCAATATGGATTGAGGCTCAATGTCAAGAAGACAAATATTGTCACCACTGGACCAATTGGCAGCATCAGGATGGATGGTGAGAAGATTGAGATCGTTCACAGCTTAATTTGCTTGACTCCACAGTCAACACTTGGCAGCAGTAGCCAGGAAATTAAGACGTATTACAATGGGAAAGTCTGCTGTTGGGGACCTTCCCAAAGTTCTGAAGAGTAATAGTGTCTCTCTGGAGACTAAGGTGCATCTGATACAGGCCATGGTCTTTGCAATCACTTGTTAAGCATCAGAGAGTTGGACAATGATTAGGAAGGATAGAAGGAAAATTGATGCCTTTTTGAACTGTCGTGCTGGAGGAGAGTATTGAGGCTACCATGGGCTGCAAGGAAAACAAACAGATTCTGCCTAGAGAGGGTTAAACCGAGCAGCTCCTCGGAGGCAAGGATTCTGAGGCTCCGTCTAACATACTTTGGACATGTTGTCAGGAGGGACTGGTCCTTGGAGAAGGACATCATGCTTGGGAGGGTGGAGGGACAGCGCAGGAGGGGAAGGCCCTCTATGAGGTGGATTGATTTAGTAACTGGGGTAATGAGGGTAGGTGTGTTAGAGACAGTGGGATCGGCACAGGACAGAGTTTAGGAGTACTGTACATAGGGTCACTAGGAGTCGCAAGTGACTCGACGGCACGTAACACCACCACCACTTTGTATTATTTTTGCTTTATCAAAATGTAGCTGAAGTCGATCTTATTTTACTGACATGTAAGATTCCACTGTATTATAAGATTCCATAATGCATTAAATCACTCTCTGGGCGGAATACTATAACCCTTAAAAAAAAAAAAAAATTCTACCCAGTGTGGGTTAAGCGTTGGAGTGCTAACAGAAAGGTCAGAAAGTTCTAACTCACCATATGCTCTGAGAAAGAGATGGGAAAACTGCCCTCGCAAAGTTTCGGAAACTAGGGGTAATTTTACTCTGTGCTCTAGGGCCAGAGTCTGAAGCGACACAACTGCAGTGGATTTGGTTTAACCAATAGTGCTGCTACATACAATCTTGTCCACACATGAAAGGTTTTGTAGAGCATAAATTTAACAGTGAAATCCAAATTCTCAGTAAAAACTTCAATTTTACTTTTTAACAATTCACGCATTGCGAAGAATAAAACATTTGAAAGGATGTGCCAACTGCTTATTAAGAGACTTGCTTCATTACGTCACGTCTGAACTTAAGCGCCCATATAATCACTTTCAGAAACCTAATTTAAGTAGCATATTTTCTAAAACACCCTTAACCTTTCCCTAACTCCCATGCACGCTCACGCAAAGACGTGACTTCCGGCGACGATTCTGACGTAAGGACAGACGCGTGACGCTAGGTGTCGCATCTCTGATGCCCTTGAAGGCCCCTTTCCGGGGTGCCTGACAAGATCCAAGTCCTAACAATTATTATTATTATTATTTTGTCTCTCTTAAGACAGAAAGGAGACTATCTTTTCCGACTCTTCTTGATAGTAAGGACGCTTCCTTTCCTCCTGGGTAGGAAACAATTGCCTTGCGTTGGCGTTGCATTCAGGCAGCGCTCTGGGCAGCTAAAGGAGCCTTGTAAATCCCGCGCCGCGGCTCCGCCTAATTCTTTTCGGCCGGAACCGCCATCTTGCAGGTAAGGGCTGCGCGTGGTTCCCGGTACTGTGGCTTCTACAACCTGGAGTCCTTACTTTGGGACCCCTGAAGCCATGCGTTGGGTACCCGCGGAGGTTGTTTATGCGTCTCGGGTCTGTTGACATGGGCGATGGAGCATCTCCCAAGATTGGGAGCGGCATTCGCCGGCCCTGGGCCTAAGAAGCGACTGCGGTGTCTCCCTCCTACCGGGAGACTGTCTTAAAAAACGATGCGACGCCAGACCATCTGGGAGAGGCAGTTAGAGTCGAGCGGAATGCTTGTTTTAATTCTGTAGGCAGCAAGCTCTCGACTTCCGCGGCCGGTGGAACCGCGTGGCTTGATGGCTTCTCGAATCCCATTCAGTGCAGCAGATACGGGCTTAAGAAATAAGCTTTTAGCATGGCTTCTGCATACGAGAAAAGGCGTTTAAATGACCCATAACTCCTCAGTAAGGCTTTGATATGTGTGCTGAAGATGAGTGCCCTCCAGTCGACCTGGTTAACGACCGTCTTAGCATGATCTTTTAATGCATGAAAATTTTTCTAATTGTTATTTGCGAATCACAACCGAAGACCACCTCATTTAGTAGGTTCGCCAAGAGGTATTGTTTGAGGGCTGCATGTGTTCAGTTAAGAAGTTACTAGGATGTTTGAAAAGGGTTAGAGGAATGTTCTCGTGTGTGCATCTTTTTTTTGTCTGCTTTGTGGGTATTGTCCTAGAGAGTTAAAAAACATTCTTTAGGTTTCAAATGACTAGCTTCTCACCAGCAAGAACTGCAGTTTGAAAAGCCAGTGTGTGTGGTGGGGGGTATAAATGGATTTCTTACTTTGGAGAACGATCTTAGGGTAGGCCATGGACTCAGGAGTCAGAATTAATTGTAGGCTTCTGTCACTTGCTGACTGCTTTCATTTGTAAACAGGCTCACGAATAAAGAGATTTGAAGTTTGGAACAGGATTTCTGATGTCTTATGGGTACCTGCTTGCCCTTTTTAGAAGTTGGGAACAACGTGTTGGGTATTGTGACTTAGGTGGAACATTACTCTGCACCACAAATATCACCAAAGAGAGAGTCGTTCTATAAGATTAGGGAGTGTTTTAATTACAAATTTACAGTGGTACGTGTTGGAACACTGTCCCAGGTTAAATAAATTTAGCTATATTTTTCCCTTTGCTAAGAAATAGTTCTGAGTGACCAGAAGCAATCCCAAACATCTTCGGATCTTTTGAGAAATTAAGTAGAAAATGAGTGAGTTAGTGGTTCACTTAAGAGATACACTGTCATAAAATAAGTGGACCAACAACAGAACGCTTTACTCTCTTCTGTAAAAGTTGAAAGCTAGGTTTTGTGCTTTCTAGAAATTAGTCTCTCTACACCTTAAATTGGTGCTCTGCGCATACCAGTCTGCATTAGAGATCGTACTGTGCTTTTATATTTTGGTAGGAAGATTGTGTTAGTTTGAATTCTGGTTTTCCATCCTAATTAGGAGTTTAACTTCCCTAAGTTGGTTATTGATAAGTTTGTGTCCTTAAATGGGATTTGGTTATTTTTTTTTTCTTGCCTGCTTTCATAGATGAGTAAGTAGTCTCAGCCTTTGAGGATCTTAATCTTTTCTAGTAAGAAGTGAGGGATGGAACTGCTACAGAACTTGGATGGGTTGGGCAAAGATTTTACTTGAAGATTTCTACTCTTTGAAAGAAATAACTGATGCTCCAGCTTTTTAGATATTCACTGATTGTTACTTTGCTAGCAAAGTAACAAGCATCAGAAGTTAATTAGCCTTGTAAAAGTAGCATTAAATACTGTGATTACAATCAATACTGGGAAATCTATGGGTGAAATTTACAATCTTTAAACAAAAATGAAGTCTTGTGACCAGTGTTTGCATATACCCTAGTACTCTGGAGCTTGATGATGATTATCTTTTTGATTGCTTTGAAGCAAAGTGAAAAATCTATTTCACCGGCTCTGAAAGCTCTTAAGATGTCTTCTTAGGGTCTGAGCGCCCTTTTATGTAATATCTTGGTTAATTTTGAAGTAAACTTTTTCTCCTTTGTGTTTTCAGTGATCCGCCAAAATGACGAACACAAAGGGAAAGAGGAGGGGCACCCGCTATATGTTCTCTCGGCCTTTTAGAAAACATGGTGAGTAGATTTGGCTTCTTTTAAGAGCAAGTGTACCATGTGTGTTTGTGTCGTTAATGTGACTGATAAAGTACCTGCCATCTGCCTAACTTAATAAATATGAGAAACATGACTTTCATATCGTAGCTTATTAGATAAGCAGTTATTGGTTCAGAGGCAGTCTTTGTTACTTACATTTTTATTAATTGATTACACTTAAAATCTTAAAAATGTATCAAACTTTTAAAATCTTCATATTAACTATACCAAAATGTTCTTACAGGGGTTGTTCCTTTGGCCACTTACATGCGAATCTATAAGAAAGGAGATATTGTAGACATCAAGGTAAATTACAGAACTGGATGGGAACCATGTTGGTAAATGTTAGAAAAAGTAGATTATCATAGAAGTGAACACAAAAATCTAATAGTTGATGAATAGTATAATTATAAAAACATAGGTGAAGTCTGCTCTTTTGTGACAAGTATTTTACATATTCTGTGCTCTAGAGTTTGATGATGATTGTCTATTTGATTGCTTTGAAGCAAAGTGAAAAACACATTTCACCGGCTCTGAAAGCTCTGAGTGTCTTAAAAGGGAGAGGGGAAATGAAAACATAGCGAGGTTGTTTGAAAATGCAGGGCTTGGGAGGAGGATCATCTGGTATAACATTTTCCTCCTCTCTCAGGGAATGGGCACTGTTCAAAAAGGAATGCCTCACAAATGTTACCATGGCAAAACCGGAAGAGTCTACAATGTTACCCAGCATGCTGTTGGCATCATTGTGAACAAACAAGTTAAGTATGTAATGAGCCAGTTCTTTGTGAATTTTTAATTAATATTCCTTCATACCCGCTTTTCACTTTGCCAATTGGACTTATGTCTTGATTGGTCATTCAAGTGGGGCAAAGGAAATGTCCTTTTAAAACTCAGGCAAACCAAGTGTTTGTCTTGTATCCTGTCAGAGGAAACAAGTTAATGTAGACTTCTTTGGCTGTTCATGTAGCTTGGATTGAAGCAGTTGAAGCTTTCTGAGTCTAAAAGTTTAAAAAGTTGGTGTTTCCGTCTTTGTATCTCAGGATCTTAGTATATAGTTTAAGAACTAGAGATGCTTGTTTCAAAGCTTCCTTCCTCCCATAAAAGGAATATGTGACTAATAAACTTACAAATTGGCTACCTGAATTTTAGGTGTTTTAGGTGACACATTTAGAGAGTATTTGCTTTCTCCACGGGTAAGATATTTAAAGAGTATTTGCTTTCTCTAGGGGTAAAATTCTTGCCAAGAGAATTAACGTGCGCATTGAGCATATTAAGCACTCTAAGAGCAGAGACAGCTTCCTGAAACGAGTGAAGGAAAATGATCAGAAAAAGAAGGAAGCCAAGGAGAAAGGCACTTGGGTCCAGCTAAAACGCCAGGTGAGGGAGTGATTGATTCTGCATGTTTTGTAGCTCAGTTTTAGTATTTGACCTCATTCATTCATTCTTTTCCCCCCTCCTTTTTTTAATAGCCCGCTCCCCCCAGAGAGGCACACTTTGTGAGAACAAATGGAAAGGAGCCCGAGCTGCTGGAACCTATTCCCTATGAATTCATGGCATAATCAGGGTGAAATAAAGGTGTCTATCTGGTAAAAAATTGTGTGGTCTTGTCTCCTGAAGATTGAGCCCCTAAAGCACACTGTTTCCTGGTTGTTTAAGCAGTATCTTGCTGAAAAATGATGACTTAGAGTTGAACCAGGAATATATTTGATGAATGACTGAGAAATTGAATAAAGTTTAATTTGCCATCTTTCTGGTGGCTAGATAAACGGCATCTCTGAACCTTAGCCTTTCCTGTGCAGTCCTCATTGTTGCTGATAGCTCGTCCATCCATCTTGTTGAAGGGTTTTTTCCTACTGTCATAAATGGGAAATATTGGATACCAGATAATGGATTGAGGCGTTCCCTGTGACCAAACAGCATTGTTACTGGTTCCTCTTCAGTTGATGGCTCCATGAGAACCAGTGTTCTGTAAAAGTTCTCTTGGCTGTAATTTTTAGCCACACTACCAGGTCTGTTCTTGGCCAGGAGCCCTCAGGCTTTTGGTCAGCCACTGACTGCTTAACCATTGTGCTACCCTAGCAGGGCCTGCAAATACTGGGCCTGTTTACCTAAAGGGAAACAGTTGAGTAACATTCCCACAGTTAACAGATGTTGGTTTTAGGTGCTGTCCACTGGAGTCTGAGAGCAAGTCTTAACCTTGTCCTATCCTGTACCAAAGTTAGTTGTTAAAATTGAAGTCCAGAAAAGCTGACTTCATTATTGTTGTTATGTGCCGTCGAGTTGTTTGCGACTCATCGCAACCCTATGTACAACAGCCCTAAACCCTGCTCTATCCTGTGCCAATCGCATTGCCTCTGACACACCCATCCCGGTTACCCCAGTCACTGAATCAATCCACCTCATAGAGGGTCTTCCCCTCCTGCGCAGTCCCTATACCCTACCAAGCATGATGTCC